AGTAGCAGTTTGAGTAGTAGTAGTAGTAGTAGTAGTAGTAGCAGTAGTAGCAGTAGCAGAGGGAGTAGGAGGAGGGTGAGTAGTAGTAGTAGTAGTAGTAGTAGTAGCAGTAGCAGTAGCAGTAGCAGTAGCAGCAGCAGTAGCAGTAGCAGTAGCAGTAGCCGTAGCTGTAGCTGTAGTAGTAGTAGTAGTAGTAGTAGTAGTTGTTGTTGTAGTAGTAGTAGTAATAGTAGTAGTAGTAGTAGTAGTAGTAGCAGTAGTAGTAGTAGTAGCAGTAGTAGTAGCAGCAGTAGTAGTAGTAGTAGTAGTAGTAGTAGTAGTAATACGACAGAGGAGTAGCAGCAGTAGTAGTAGTAGTAGTAGTAGTCGTCGTCGTCGTCGTAGTAGTAATAGTGGTAGTAGTCGTAGTAGCAAATTCTAGATGTTAATGCTGCTGCTACTATGCTGCTACTGCTACAACAACAACACTTGTAACAACTATTACTCCTACTCCTACTACAAGTTACGACTCATCACCACTACTACCACTACCAACTACTAGTTTTGCATCCGGATACTAACTACGACTGTGACTGCGACGACTGCTACCCACTACTTACTACTGCGTCTGTAGTGCTGCTGTCACCATTTCTGCAACCTCAATATGTCTGCCAATGTCATTTTCTCCGCTCCGGCTGTTCCTATGCCTAGCAATGCAGCTAGTGTTGCTCTTGCGGCTGTCGCGGATCATATTGACGGATGGGGTATGCTTCTGGCAATGTGGTGCCGATGACTGCGGTGACGATCATGAGGACCGACCCAACGAGATGAGGATGATACCGACTGTCACGACAACGACAGCAAACGCCGAATGGGCGAAGCCACATGGTGAAAAGCCAGGTATCAGGCAGAGTGGTAATGAGGGCGACAAACACAGCAATATGCTCATAATTGTCGTCCTGATCACGAAGCTGTGATGGCGATGGTGTCAGTGATTCAAGGATGAGGCAAACAGTAAGAAGCACTGTGACGGTGACAACGATGATGGTGATGATGCGACAAATGAACATGAAGTCAAGGCTGAAGTTGGAGTTGAAGGAAAAGACGATGATGGTGGTAATGATGATGCTTGGACTCGTGATGGTGATTGCGATAATGATGATGATGGTGATGATGGTGATGATGATGATGATGGTGATACATCGGATAATGACATTAATATAATGATGACGACCACGATACGATGATGACGATGATGATGGGAATGATAATGATGATGATCATCATCATGACACTGGCGATGATGGTGATTGTTTTGAGGATGGTGCGGATGATGAGGAGTCTGCGGCTGACACTGCTGGTGATTACGATGGCTGATGAAGATGGTGATGATTGCCATGAAGCTGCCGTTACCGCTGCTGCTGTTGCTGCTGGTGGTGCGGATGATGCTCATGTTGCCGCTTGTGCTGAGCCTGGCGAGAATGGAGACGACAATACTTCGGAGTCTGCATGGTTCGACTAAGTTGGACCGAGCTTGGGTGCTCGGAATCCCAACTGCCAAAGCCCTTCAACGACGCCAAACCCTGAAGGGCCACAACCCGGCTGTGCTCGGACCATATTCTGGAAACGCGAAATCCGGCATGCTGCGGGCACCCGGCCCATTGGCGATGTTGACGACGTATCGGCCCTCTCCCAAGGTGGCCTCGAAAAGTAAAACGTTTAGGGCCGAATAGACTTCAAACCTACCCTCAAGGGGATTGGGTTTCTGCCGGAAGGCCGTTCAAATCGGACGGTAGGCAAGGCTAAGAACTGAAAGTGAAGACAGGGGCTGCAGCTTCAGATTACAGGTCTTGGGTTGAGAGCTAGCAGCATCACCAGCTCTCTCCCTCTGAAATGCATCAGGGTTCGCAAGTTTAGGATTTGGCGCCTTTAGGCTTGTTGAGTGGCCTGGTCCCACAAGCAAAGGCTGTGAGGATTCAAGATTTCGTGATTTTGGACCAAAAAAGCACGGCTTTTGGAAATCGGTTCCACAACTCAGTTTGCAAGCATTCCGCCACTCTGAGGACCCAAACGCGCTCCACAATAAGCCCAGAACCACATTCGCAGCGCTCAGCATGCCATCGACTAAACGGATCTCCACCTTGTCTTCGACCTGAATTGCGGTTATATGGGTTGGGTGGCTTGGCAATACATGAACATGTGCACGCATGACAGATATGCATAAGAAAGCCAGATAAATATAAAAATATAGGAATATCTATATATATATATGTATATATAAACAGAACGGACGTGTATCTATGTATCCGTAAATCTATATATCCGAATATCAATACATCCAAATATCTATATATCTATACATCTAAACATCTATATATATGTGTATATATATATACATATATATATATATATATGTATATGGATATCTATAAAAAAATGTATATATCTATATATCTATATATCTATATATCTATATATCTATATATCAGGGCTCAAATAGCCGGTTACCAATCCGGAAGCTTGACGCCCCAGTGCGCATCAGTCGCACGATTTGCTGCCTACAATAGGCAAGCAACCTCCGTCCCCCTCGTGGCATAGGCGACAGCGAGCCCTTCGTAGCAGAGCAAGGAAGCGTCTGCGAAATTGTCAGCGGCTCAGCCAGGTGCAATTCTGTCACTTGTTGTCGCACCACGCGACTGGCCTAGCTCAGAGACGACGTCTCCGATACAGCATGGGACGAGGAAGAGGACAAAAATGGGACGACAGCTGGGACACACGTCAGCCCCAGCATGGCTCACGTGGGCGTTTATGGCGTGGTGCCTGGAGTGCATCGCCGTCAGTGCCGTGGCGAAGACCTACGGAAGCTCCCAGTCCGATCCCCGGTTATACATCCCGACCGGTTACCTCGGAGCCAGCGACAGCCATGGACCATATGGGTACGGATGCAAGAGCCACCTTGGTCCCGCGTGTACAACAGGCGCTCAATCATACTCGGAAGATGGAAATCAAGGTGAAGAAGCTTGTCAACGAGAAGGAAAGGAATATAAAGCAGTGGCAGGCCTGGGAGAAGGACATGAAGAACAAGTGGATTCAGGAAAAGGCGAGACATGCTCGCGACCTGGACCGCCTGGACAAAGACATTTCCGATGCAGTCGAGATGCAGGAGGAGGCGAGAGAAGCTCTCCAGTCTGCATTCTTGACGGCCACGCATGCGGAAGTGGAAACGGTGGCACAGCCGAGCGATGCCGACTGGGATGCAGTTGTTCAGGAATGGGACGAAGCTGCCGATTTGGATTTGCAAGGAGTTCTGAGCAGAGCCCTAGCACCGAGGCAGCGGGTCGTGGTGACGCCACAGCGACGAACTCTGGCACCCATGTCTCCGCCGGCCACTACGTCTTCGAGAAGACCTCCACAGGAATATGTCGAGGCAGAAGTGCCACCCGCACCGGTCAGGGAGACACCGACGAGGGAGGATGGAGTCTTTCGAGATCCTTATGGCACTCCGCCTGGCGCCCCTGGCCTGACTTCTCCCAACACCCTGGCTCATGGGATTGGAGCAATGGCACTGTCTGTACCTCCAGAGTCGACTGCTGCAGCTCCCGGCCCAGGCACTGGACGACGGGACCTTTCTCAGCCCAGAGTTTTTACTTCTCAAGCACAACCGCGGCCGGATGTCAAGCAAGATGCAAGGCCGTCGAAGCCTCACCCTGTACCAGCATCAGGGGTCCCTCTGGCAGATCGGCTCATGGAAAAGCGCCAAGGTGGCCGTCAGGCAATGCAGGCCTTCGGGGTAAAGCCTGTCAATCTCGCCACGGTGCCACCGACAAGGAGGATCGAGATCCACAACGACGACGAGGACATGGAGGAGCTAGAAGAAAAACCTCCCGAGGAGGAGCCCCCGGGGCCCTCGGAGAGCTGAGTGAGTCGCATGCTTTAGGGCAGGAGAGGTGGGCGATGAGAAGCCTCCATCTGGAGAATGGCAGCCTTTGGTGCTGTGGAGCTTTGCGACTGCTAATGGGAGCAGTCCAAAGGCCTCCCTCGCACCCCGGGCAATGCCTTCTTCATTTTGAGTGCTTTTCGGGATCCCAAGCTCTCCTCCGGTCTCACAGCTTTTGCTTCCCTTTTTCGCGCAGTGGAGGCACATATTACACCTGGACTTTGCTCCCCACCAGTCCTGTCTCCATGGCCTTGGACTTGGGCGCTACAGGCACTTCTCTTTCGATTTTTGCAAAGCCGGCTTTTTGCCCCGAGCTTGGAGAGCTTAGGGCATTGCCACTTGAGCTATGCCTGTCTTCGCCCCCATCTTCTGAAGGGCGATCCTACCTGAAGGCCTTCAGCCTTCTCGTCGATTTTGTCATTCCCTCACCCAGAGAGCATAATACGCGCATCGGTTGCTCAGGGGCGCGATCCTGGGTTGAGGGAATTTCCCTACCATTTACCCTTCGCCTGAGTATTCAGAGCCTGTTTGAATCGGCTTTTTGTCAGGCCGTTTGTTCATTCTTCACCACCTTACTGGTGTTTGTTGCTTTGGCCCTCTATAAGCTCCTTCTGGCCTGCACTCCAGGGCGTTCTTCACCCTTGGGAAGAACTCTTCGTGCCACAACTGCTTTTGTCCCTGCGAGTGTACTCTTGGCCCTTGGGAGAACTGCCACTGTGCAACCAATACTGTCTTGGAGCTGTCCAGTTAAGCGTGTACCACGCTCTCGCCGGCACGCTAACGTTGTTCGTCCATCCCTTTGTGCTGTTGGCCGAGCTTGGTGCCGAGCTGTTCTGTTTGGGACACTCTTCTGGACTCTCCCTTTTCAGGTTTGGGCAATGCCTCCCGGAGCCCCGGAAATCCTGAATTCTTTGCAAGAGGCAGCACACGCAGCTGCCCAAGCAGCCCCTGAGGCACTACCAGTGCCTCCTGATCCTGCCGATGGATCTCCCATTGCCACTGCTTCCGTTGGGTTTGCGCCTCCTGGGGGCCCCTTCTTAGCTGCAGGCATTGCTGAGCATTGGCCTACTGCCCTGTCGCAGCCGCACTTCCGCCCTCAGACAATATCTGAAGAAGTTGCAGTGCGATTGTCATACCCTACTGTTCGGTCAGGCAATGGGGTTGATGGTAGGATGTTGGGTTTTGTCTTGTACGCCCCTAACTACCAGACTGAGGTCTGGGCGCTGCACACTGTCTCCGATGAAACACCAGAATCGTTGGTTGCTGCAGCCCAGGTCTTGCTGAAAGACGCTTTTGAGGGAAGTTTTGATAGGCTAGTTCCTCTCGTGCCTCAGATGCACAGCAGTTATGTTCAGATGGTTGCATACCCTTCGATGCTTGACGCTGATGGGTCTTATGGTGTAGCAGTTGCTTTCGACCTCAGCCGCGTAGGAGGGGACTTCTTTGTCACAGTTGTTGCCAGGGTTCTCAGTGAAGCTGATCTGATACGATTCGTTCGGCCACTGACCTATCACCATCTGGAGGTTCTGCATTTCTACATTGGTGAGGCAGCAGAACCCTGCGCCGATGCAGCTACCTTCACTCTGCGACATGGCACAGTCATCACGGTCCTCTCACCTGGGCTGCTGACTGCGAGGAATTTTGCACTGCAAGATGTGCTCCTTCCCGATGTGGAGTGGGCACAGATGCAGCATGTGCCTCGTTGCCTCCGAACGCCAGGAATCTGTCTACTGTCCGGAAGCCTTCGATACCGGATTAGGCAGGACCACCATACTAGGCGCACCATTCCTGAAGCTATTGCTGTTGTGCTTGATTGTGAAAGAAGTGACATGACCTTCTGCACATCCTTTTGCTTCGGTAACCTGTCCGTGCAAGGCGAACCGTGTGATCGGGTTATTGCCGCGGCCTTGATGCCTTCACCTGAGGCCTTGCCTGACGGTATGCACCGAAGGGATGTCTGGACTTTCTGCGACTACAGGCCGTTGGGTTTCAAGCCTAAATGCCATCTGTCTCATGTTTTGCGAGTCCATGTGCCTTCCCTGCTTGCACTTGATGGCATTGTGATTCCGCCGCACTTCGACCTGTCTGTCGAAGGGGGGATTTTACAGGGAGACGAAGTCGTTGTTCAACACAATACCACTCTGGTTTTTCGTGCCAAGCCTTTGCAGGCCTCCAGCCCAGAGGATGACCTCTTATCGTGGCCTCCCGATGATGACGATGATCCTGAGGATAGTGATAAGGGTGATACGGATCACAGGCCTTCTGACCGAGGTGAGGCAGGCGATTCAACTGCCGGTGGATCCTTCCATGTGCCCAAAGCCCGGGAGACAATTTCCCGCAGTCGTTCCCCCGTTGCCAAAGACCGTGCTGCTGATGCCACCGCGGCACAGACAGCTTGTCTCGCGCAGCCTGCCAGAACACCCACGCCGCCTCTACAAACATGTCTAGGACTTGACGTGCAATCTGCAAGCCCTTTGACCACATGGGAGGTGCCAGAGGATAAGCAGCCCGACCTTGCAGGTGATAGGTTTCGTGGCACTATCGATGGGGCTGATGACAGCTTGCCTCGGCTTGAGCAAATGCTTGACAGGCCTAATTTCAGAGATGGGCCGCCTCTTCCTATTGATGCTGAAGAGGTTTTAAGAGTCCGAACAGGTCTCGCCGCTGACCCGCCCGGGCCCTGGGTTGATGTCCCCTTCTTCATTTATTCGCCTGGACATGCCCCTGAAGTCTTGAATTTGCCCTTGTGTACGCCTTGCAGCTTGCAAGAAGCTCTGCATGCGATTGCCGAATGCCGAGATGACGAGTTGTCTCGCCGGTTTCCAGAGGTTGTCGTTTGCGAGCCCCAACCCGACCTGGCCTTTGCGGCGCTTCTTGCTGTGCCAGCCTGGGCTTACGGCGAGGCTGTGGTGCTTTTTGATTGTCGCCAGATTAACCGATCTCTGTTTGCGGCTGTCGTGTTTCCGCGAATCAATCGCGAATCTCTCTGCTTGGCTGCAGGCTTGCCCACTAGTTTGAATGTGCAGGTTTATGTGCAAGGGTTGCCTTGGGCTCTTGGCGCCTGGCAACTGGTTGACCTTCATATCGGTTCGACCGTTACCTTCGCGCCTGCTGGGAGCCGTGCACCTAGGCAGAGGAGGCTCTCGGACATGCTTGCAGGAGCAGACCATTGGGACTCGCAAACTCCTGTCCCAGCTCCGCCTGGGGATCATTACCTTGCACTCACTGAAGGCAGACCTGCGATTTTTACTGTGCGAGCCGAACGACGATCAAGCCATCGAGCAGACATCGCTGCTCTCCTTCAGTACGAAGAGTCACGTATGACTCTTTGTGCCTCAAAGCCGCAGATAAGGGATGCAGTCTACAATGGCTTCCATGTCAATGCCGTTGTCGCTGCGACAGAAGCCATAAGCAGATTACCCGTGCCACCAGCCAGGGTTTCGCCGCCCAAATGGATCCTCTTTCTCGATCTTCGTGACATTTTTCTGCCGATTAAGTGGATCTTGCTTGATCAAGATTGCATCTCCGTGCAATACTTGCTGCGCATGTACCAGGACAGACACCCAGAAGGCTTTGTCTTGTCAATCACTGGAGCCCCAATTGAGGATGGGGCAGTCACCGAGTTACGTGAGCCTTTCTTCCGAGTGGCGAATGGGCATGTCCTACACTTCGCCTTTGTTGCCGACAGTGCCTCTGACAGTGAGGATTTTGGACATGGAAATTTCGAGGAGGGTCAAGAATCCGAGGCGCTTTCCCTTGCCGATCCTGTGATCCATGAAGAAGGCCGTGATACTCCTGCTGGTCAGGCTCGTGAACATGATCACGTGTCTGATGCCCAAGGTGACAATGAGGATGCTGTTGCTACTGAAGGACCCGGTCCAAGGCAGGGAAGTGCCAACCTACCCAGCAGTGGCAGCAGCAGTTCAATCGAGGCTCCTATTCCGATACGAGCCAGTTTCGCCTTGCTGATTCCTGGCTTCGCCCCAGAAGCGGTCTCTCTTCCCATAGAGATTCCTGCTCAACTTGACCATGTCATTGCCCTGCTCCAAGCCAAGCGAGATCCTGCATACGCTGCTGATTTCCCTGTGATCACACCTGTGTTGCGTCAGCCTGACGCGCGTTGGGGAGTATGCGTCGCTTCCACAGAATGGGCTCCACTGAATACCACTGTCTGTGTGGACATTTCTTTTGGCGAGCAGAGGGTCTTCGCCGCGCTTGCACCTGCCACTGCGGACAAGTGGATTTTGCTCGAGGTCGCTGGCCTCCCCTTGTCTGATGATTTTGATGTGTACTGTGACAGCATCGGACCTCTTCACAACACTGATGTTGTCGAACTCGGTCTAGGAAGTGTCATCTGTGTCGTACGCCATGGGCAGGCCAGGCCCTGGACTATGACCCTGCCCGAAATGCTTGGCACACATTTGCCTTGGGATGATTCCCAGCCCCTTCCAGCTGATGTTGACACTGACCGTGTCTGCCTAGCATGCGTTGATGGGGTGCGCGTGTTTCCGCTGTTAGCCAATCGGGCACATCTTTATAGAGAAGATATTGCATCCAGGCTGCATTGCCCGTCCATGCTCCTCCAGCTTGTGCCGGCACAGCCACGACAGTCAGATACGTCCTTTTATGGATATCCTTGTCGCACGGTCACTGCTGCGCTCAACCGTGGTACCTTCGCGGCCGACTCACAACCTGCTGTTGCCCTTGTCGATGTCCGCAGGGTTTACAGAGGATGGATGCCGTGTCTAGCGACTGATGGATGGGTCAATCTTCGTCAGATGCTCGCTCAGCTCGAGGTAGCTTTGCCAGGACAGTTCATGCTCCGCATTTGGGGGTATGAACCTGAGCACGAATGGACCTATGTTCAGGAAGGCACCGTCCTCACTGTCTGTGTCGGCTCATCCGACCCCTCTGCACCTATGAGAGCCCCTCAGGCAAGCACCTCCGAACACACTGATCGGCATGCTGACCCAGAATACAGGCCAGGCGACCGTCCTGCCTCTGGCGACAGTCCGGGTGCTGCCGGCAGCTGCAATGCCGGCAACGAATCAGGGCCAGCGATTGATGGCCCACCTCCATTTGAGGCCTCAGGTCGAGTAGCCATGTGTTCCGACTGTCCACCAGCTCGTTGCCTTGAAGATGGCACCAGTCGGCGCACCCCTGTCCTCCCTGAGCCCCAACGGAGCCATGAAGCTGTAAGCATGAGAGTTAGTTGTCAACTATGCTGCATACTCTCGATGCTCTGCTTGGGTGCACTACCCAGCGTGTATGTTTTTTGGGTGCCTTGGCTTCTGTTTGCTGCCGACGTATCCTCGCGACATGCAGGACGTGCACTATATCTCGGCACCCTGCTCCTCTGTTTCCACCCAGGTCGGGCCATGCTAGCCCCTCCTTCTTGTGCTCGTGCTCAGTTGGCCCCAGTGCAGGCCCTTGTTCACCAAGCCTCCCACCCACCTGTTGGCAGCCTTGGGGAAGCATCCAGAGGCCGTGGCGGAAAAGAAGAGCCGGCTAGACCGCCCATGGTCTCTTGGTATGCTTCGGACACGACCGGGAATCATGCCCTGTTGCGTTGCATTCCTACGCCAGTACGAGCACTCTCTAGAGGAGGTGCCGACCATGAATCGCCTCGAGTCGATGATCTTAAGACACTCTTGCGAGATGCCGCCGAAAGCCCCGACTGTCAAGCTTTCTTTCTTGCTGCAACCTTGCTTGAGGCTCTTGTCGAACATTTTGCGGACCTACAGGGCCGGCATACAGCCGCCATTTCTGCCACGCAGCCCGCCACACCACTTGATGCCTCCCGCATCAAACCCTGCGCTATTTGCATCGAATCTCTGCTGGGATCTGACGATGCTGCGCCCCGTCGCATTGTGACGGTAAACCTGTCCCTAGCGCCAAAAGAAGCTTCTAGGTACCACGAACTTCGTATTGGCTCCACTCCCCTTGGGTTTAGAGCCTGCGATCTAGTCGGTCTTGTCCGCGGACGGACATCCTTAAGCTCATGGTCTGAGGCTAGTGATTTTGAACCCTTGTTGAGTGATGTGCGAGCCGTAGACTTGCAGCATTTCGCGAGCCAACTTCGGGGTCAGAACTTACCCGGGATATGGTGCTTTACCGACGGCTCCTTCTACGCAGCCAAAGCGACTCAGCCAGCATTTCTTGGATGGGCGTGTCTTTTTCTCCAACCAGACACATTCAGCCTCAGCTGGGCTGCCGGCCGAGTCGATCTTGAGCTCTTTGGTGATCACTCACAGCCTTCCGCGTTCCTGTCAGAATGCATCGCACTCATGGCGGCCCAGCTCCTCAGTGCCACTGAGTTTGTGCATGTGCCGGTGCATTTCCGCTCTGACTGCCAAGCTGCTTTGTCCGCCATGCTTGGCCAAGCACAAGGACAACCTAGTACCTGCGCGCTGGCAGCCTGCAATGCGCGCACTTTCCGCGCGCAAACCAGCGGCCATCCCGATACCTACGCGTACGTGGAGGGACATGCAGGGGTTCTAGGCAATGAAATTGCAGATAAGTTGTCCAAACAGGCTGCCAAGTCAAAAAGATTCTCCCATGGTTTGTGTCGCGATGCCGATGTATTAGCACTGTGGCTTCAGGGGGGCGCTGCCAGACTCCCTTGGGCAGGAATAGCCTTTCAGAGTCTTAACGGCAACCCATCTGCGCCCCCCCTAAACACCTCCGATCTAGGAGATGAGACTGACCATGCAGGTCTTGATGCTCTCGACCTCTTGGCACCCTTCATGCCATCGTACTTGAAGCAAGCTGTACCTGCAGAAGATGACGGCAATCCCAACACGGTTTGTGAGTACAAACTTGCACTGACTGTTGCCGCATATAATGTGCTGTCATTGCTGCCCCCCCGACTTGATGGGCGCCCTGCCACATCTAATGAGGCCGGTCTGGCCTTTCAAACCGGAGCCCCGGCTATCCTTGAGAGGCAGTTGCATGCCCACGGTGTGCATGTGGCTTTGTTGCAAGAAACGAGAACCCCCGCAGGGACTCTGAAAACTGGTAGATACACCAGGTTCTGCTCTGGGGGAGTTAAGGGTCAATGGGGAATCGAAGTCTGGATCCAGGATGGCGCCAGGATTCTGTCCGACAGCAACAGCCAATTCTGGACCCTCCAAGCCAGCCGCGTGACCGTGCTTCACACTGATCCCCGGAGACTTTTGGCGCGTATTAATTGCGGGCCAGTGTGCTTCCTGATCGCGTCCCTGCATGGGCCTCATAGAGTTTTCGAGCGTTTGCACATTCAGGATTGGTGGCTTGAAACCCATCGCCTGATCAAGCGCTTCCGGAAGCGTGAGTATGTCTTGATAGGAGGGGATTTCAATGCAGCTGTCGGATCGCAGCCAACACCGCAATTTGGAGATCTCGATCCTGAGCCTGAAGATTGCGCTGGTAAGCAAGTGCAGACAGTTGCCGCGGAAGGTGATCTGTTCGCGCCAAACACCTTCGCGTCCTATCACCGCGGAGATTCTTTCACATACTATCAGAAGCGAAGCACATGCGTTTTACGTACTGACTACATCCTGCTGCCGACCGTTTGGCAGGCTGGTTCAGTCGAATCGTACACGGCACCCAAAATTCACGCCGGGCATCCATCACAAGATCATGTTGCCACTTGTGTGGATGTCGATCTCAAACTCGTGCGTCCTAGGGCACGAACTGAGAAAGGCCGTCGGAAAATACGTGCATCTGATGCGCGTGATTCAGCAAATCGCGACAGCATCAGGGACTTGTTACGATCTGTGCCCATCGTTCCATGGCAGACCTCCTCCCATGCCCATGCAGCGATCGTTACCAAGCATGTGCAGGATGGTCTTCAGCAAGTGCTACCCCATAAGACCACCACACCCAAACACCCCTACATCCGCCCCGTCACTTGGCAACTGCAGCAGACACTTGCGCGTATTCGTCATGTGCTACATACTAGGCGCAGAGTCCTCAACCGTCACAGGTTGCTTGCCGTATTCCAAGTTTGGAGGCGATCCGGGGACACTTTTGAGCAGCAGTACCTTGATAACCCGTGGGTCATCAAGGCTACCCTCATTCAAATTGTGCAGGTGCAGCACATGCATGCTGTTGCAAAAGCCCTGCGCGCTGCTTGCAAATCTGACAGAGATGAATACATCCGTGGACTCGCCGATGAGGTTGCCCGTGGGCCTAACCAGCAGGTTTTTGCTTCGCTGCATCGCTTGTTGTCCCACAAGCGCAAGAAGCCCTTTCACCTAGAGCCGCTCCCCACCCTGAAAAAACCTGATGGGGAAGTCTGTGCAGATTACCGTGAAAGGCTGGAAACCTGGCGTGCACACTTTGGCGGACTTGAAGGAGGCCAGCCGACCACTTTTCAGTTATTGGCGGACCGAGCTCATGCTGGGGAATTTTGTCCCGACCGTGTAAAAGTTGCTCCGCATCCGTCCTCGACTGCGGAAGTTGCCAGTCAGGCCACTCTCCAGCTCATGTTGCGAGCCTCCAAGGTTGGCAAGGCAGCGGGATTAGACAATCTGCCGCCCGAATTGTGCCACTTCTTTGCCACAGACCTTGCACCTGTCCTGTACCCCATCTTTTTGAAGATTGCATGGAGGGGACAAGAGCCTGCGGGGTGGAAAGGCGGATCCACAGTGCACTTTCACAAACGACGTGGCAAATTCGACGATTGCAATTCGTATAGGGCAGTTCTGCTGCTTTCGACTTGGGCAAAGGCTTGCCACAAATGTCTGCGAGCACCCCTGAAGTCTCACTTCGAAGGTTCTGCCCCTGACTTGCAATTGGGGGGCAAAACCGGCGGATCTGTCGTTTTCGGCGCTCACCTTGTCAGGTCAGTCATTCGCCGTGCCACCTCTCAAGGACAAGCCAGTTTCGTCATTTTTGCAGACATAGCCTCTGCCTTTTACAGTGTTGTCACGCATTTGGTCGCGGGCCATCAAGAGGGTTTTTCAGACCAAGACTTCAGTCGCCTGACTCACAAGCTGAACATCACACCGGGTGAGCTTGAGGCCTTGCGCGAGCATTTGCAGGCTCCTGACGCAATGTCCTCAGCTGGTGCGACTCCGTGGCTGCAGAGCGTTACTGAACGCATGTCGCAAAACAACTGGTTTTTACTGAAGGACGATGATACACCTGTTGTGTCCATGCGAGGCACCAGGCCTGGATCTTCCTTTGCTGACCTGGTCTTCGCTTTACTCGTACCCAAAATCCTCGCCTTGCGTGACTCACTTCGGGGTTTTGAAGCTAGGAGCGAAGCCCCGGTGTATCGATGGGATGGCGAGCGAACGCTCGCACCATGCATTGACGGTGAAGAAATTCCTGTTAAAGACGTAATTTGGGCTGATGACCTTGCGGTCCCCCGAATATGCCGAGGTGTCCGGGATATTCGCGCCGCTGTTGCGGTTGAGACAAGCGCGCTGACTGACGCCTGCGGTGAACACGGTCTGACCTTGGCCTACGGCCAGCATAAGACAGCTGGCCTGGTCACGGTGCGTGGTACCGGATCTCGTTCGGTCATTTGGCAAACGTCGAGGCAAAGGTCAGGTATGTGCTTTGCGCGAGCACGCGCATAAGGTGCAGCTGCCCCTGGTGTCAGGGTACAAGCACTTAGGCGTACAGCAGGCCGAAGATGGATCACTTGCCCAAGAAGTCCGTTACAGAATCGGCCAGGCTAGGGCCGCGTTCCATGAGGCCAGGCGCAAAATCTTTTGCAATCGCCAAATCGGGATCCAGCGCAAGGCGCACTTGCTCCGGACGCTTGTCCTTGCGCGTCTTACGCAAGGAGCAGGATCCTGGCCAGACCTTGTCTGTCGAGATCGACAAGCCCTTGAGACTGCTATTTGGCAGTTTTACCGCAGTTTGTTGTGCATTCCGAAATCTGCGCCGCAGAATTACACGGCCCTTTCGGTGTTCGCCCTTACAGGGCTTCCCCCCCTGCACGCTCTGCTGCGACAGTGCCGTTTGCAGTATTTGTGTCAACTTATGTGCTCGGGGCCGGACGTTTTGTGGGCTGCGGTGCGAGCAGACCGGGAATACTCGGACAGGCTATCCTCCGATTTAGTGTGGATGTACGCATGGCTTTGCCGTACCACCAATCTGCCCCATCCCTCCGAGGGCTGGACCTCCTGGGCCCAGATGATCACGACCCGACCAGGCAGGTTTAAAGGCCTACTAAAACGTGCTTGCAGACTTGAGCAGCTGAAGCTGAGCTTTATTGCCGCGCTTGACGGTCTGTACCGGGTCGCAGCCGCCGCTGCGGGAGTCGTCGAACCCACGCGTGTGACGCAGAGGCGTTTTGATGAACTTTGCCTCCCGTGCAAGCGAGCTTTTCATGACAGGGTGTCATGGGCTGCACATGCAGCTCGATGCCACGGGTATCGTAGTCGTGCGCATCTAACAGCCCAGGGTACTACGTGTCTTGCCTGCGGGCGTTGCTATGCTAGCATTGGGCGCCTACGCAGACACCTGATCAGTGTCCCAGCCTGTCTGGATCAATGGGGAGCTTTTGTCCCACAAGGACATCCTGAAACCGAAGACCCCCCACACCCTCTTGCACCGCCCGGCGTCGCAGAGGGAACTTTTGTTCTGCATGGCGACGAGCTGCCAACGAGGGGTGCTGACTGCCGGAACCTTTGTGCTCCTCTGCGAGATATGCTTGAGGGTCTTCAGGATGTTGATGAATCTGAGGTATGGGAGTGTGTCGCTTCCTTTGTCGAACCTTTGAGTGTGCTTCGTGCCACTGTGGCAGACTGGAAGGAGGCACACCTTCACAGCCCATGGCATCAAGAGGCTGGCGAAAACGTCCTTTTGCTCCTCGATCCCGAGGTGTCTGCTGACACATTTCCAGATGAGAGGAAAAGCAAGCGGGCTACACAGGACACGTTGCCTGTTTGGGGTCCCTTGCAAGGCCTTGGACTCGTTGTTGATGGCCCTGAACATTCTGTGAGCCTCCCGAGTCCTCCCCCTGTCACGTTTGCGGTTGATGAGCCTACGAGTATCACGCTCAGGCATGGTGAAGGAATTATCGTATGGGTCGATCGGGCCTGTCATGCAATCGCTGTGTGCATCACAACTGCTGCGACCCAGCCAGTGCAGTTGTGGTGTCCAGGGATTTGGCAGTGCATCCCCCAGGCGCGTGTCTGGTGTGCGGCCGTTGGTTTTGCCTGCCACCATGATGGTTTGTGCTCTCCCACTGCGTGACTTTTCACCCTGTTTCACCGAATTTAGCGCTGCATAGGCGTGCGTCTTTCGATAGACCCCATCGCCACGAATGGAAAAATATCTATATATCTATATATCTATATATCTATATATCTATATATCTATATATCTATATACCTATATAGATATATATCTAAATCTAAATATCTATATATATATGTATATATATATATGTATGTATGTAGTATCTATATATATTATCTGTATATGTCTATAATTCCTATTTGTTCCTATATATCTATATATCTATTTATATCTATAGATATCTATATATATATACCTATATATATCTATATCTATATATATATATATCTATATATATATATATCTGTATATATCTATATATATCTATATATATCTATATA